GATGCGGAGCTTGGATTGAGATGGAGACTGTTCCCAGCACCGGCTCTCAACAACTTGTGCCTCACACCTCATCCGTTTGGGTCCATGTGGCTCTGAGGCGGGGAGACACTTCGAAAGGAATTCACCAGTCCCGCGTTTCGCTCTTGCTATCTGGCGGCTGAAAATCGGCGAACCTTCCTGAAAATTCCCGTGGAGTCCCTTTCTGAGAGGGAGCCTCTCTGCTTTCAAAGCGGTGGTCCGAAACGTGGTAGACACATTGGGATCCACCCCTAACCATCTTTCCAACAATGGATGTGCAACAACAAAAACGCCCAGCAAAACCGGAAAGTTGTCTTCCAAAACTCATCCTCCCATCGTCATCTTCCCTGATTGAAGGCGAATTACCGTCAAGAACGGAAAAATACTGAAAGTATTCCACTCATGTCGTTCCCTTTTCTCTCTCATTCCTGTTCCTTCAGTGAGTGATAGAGGCTCTTGGAGTTACAGCGAAGCAAGGGATGGAGAAGAGACGAGAGAACGAGGCAAGATGAAGGAAGAGGAAATCATTTGTATTCGCTGGAAAGAATTGGCCAGCGGATGGACAAGACGTCTTCCTTCATCATACTATTCCTTCTCCCATTACCCTACAAATCCTTAAGAATGCTTTTGGAGCGGGATCTGGGCTTCGTTGTCCCAAAAAAAGCATCATCAGCTTCTCAGCTTCCATGATTGAAGGCAAATGACCGTAAAGGACCTCACGGCTTCGCGCCTCTTCAGGTCATCCAAGTGCAGCTGCTGGGACATGAGCCTCTCCTGGTGCTTCGACAGCAAACCTACAGCTGGCGGGGGGTGCTCGGACGCTCGGCCGCTCGCTGGGAGAACCCAAACCAACGGCTTGCTCCCAGAATTCCCGGAGCCCGGCTTGGAACTTAGTACCAAAAGCTCCGCTCATACTGGGTGGGTTGTTCCAAATGAATCCCCTGCCCCATGGTGGATTCATCTCCGGGACAATCTGGTGAATCGGGCCCACGAGCCTCGCCTGATGTGTGGGATATGCTATCGTTTGGACATATGCAACAGCAGGACCTGGCGCAAACATCGTACAGTGAACGCGACCCTCATGCGAAGAGACATGCCAAGAAGACGCCTTTTGCAGCATGCCTTCCCACCAGAAAGAAACACCCCAGCCTTCTGCACACGATCACTATTTCTCCCCGAGGTTTGCCTTTTGACCATTGACTCACACACGCACACATATCAAGCAGTGAACCGAATAACCCTCCTTTTGAACCTTCAAATCAAATGTCACTAGATCAACCAGCAGGAAATTCTACAGGAAACAGGCCGAATACCCACCAGGACACAAACATCGGAAACAAACAAGGGGGGCCCCACTTCGGCTCACCCGACACAGTTCGAAGCCGTTCCATCGCGCGGAAGCCCTGGCCTTCCAGCTCAGCGATGCGAAGCTGCAGAGCTTCCTCCTGCTTCGATCGGGTTCTGAGCAGTTTACGTCTTGCTCAGGGTGCAAGGGCTCAGATCCGAAAGGCTGACCTAAGAGAAGAAGAAGCCCAGGTATCCCCGACAGCCAAAGGGAATTTCCTGGAAGCCTCCTTTTGAACCCTCCCTGGAAGGCTCCCCAAACCACAGAGCCGAGGGCAGAGACCCCAAAGCTTCCAGCTGTTGGGTTTTCATTGGGGAACCTCTGGAAGAGGAAAGAAATGCATGTTCTTCGAAAATGAAACGCTAAGAATACACAATCGCATTTTGACCCACCACGACTGAAACCTACGGATCTCAATTCGCTTAAGAGAACCAACCAGATAAAAGCCAACATGATCAAACATGACTCTGTGCTAAGCTCCGAATCTCTGATGAAGGCATATTTGGCAAACTCCGTCCGATTTGTGTACTGGAAAGAGAATCAGGCTAGAGGACTTTCCTCTTTAAAGGGGTTTCTCTTGTAACTTCTTTAAGTTAGCCCGAGGCCAGCTGCAATCTTCACAACAAATTCCTGAAAGGTAGCCCTCCAGTTGCGGACCTTCCTTGAGCTCGGTATGAGCCACCTTCCACGGCTCGGCGTTTTTTTGCGAAGTCCGGCCCACGCGACATCGGCGAGGCCAAGCATGCAACCAAAAGACCTCGTCGCGTGCCCACCCCTTGACTCCCAGCACTAAGAATAGGCTTCATTCTGCTCCATGTTTCGTGAACCTTACCATGTGAGACATGTCAAAACAAATCCCAGGGAACGTCAAACATAGTTCACAACCTTTGCTGGACGTTACATGGAGAATGTTGTCTCAAAACCAAATTGTTTCAGCTGCCGGTTCCTTTCAACGAGAGGTCCCAGCTGGTTGTTTGTGTGCAGTTGGTTCGAAGGGAGATCAAAAAGAACGCCACCAATTGGGAGGTTCCTTCCCCATAAACGGTCCCAGTTTTTGCGGTCCCCCATTTTGACACATGGGTATGTCTTGTGCTCAGGGAGTGAGGCAATGAACCGTTTTGGGATTCCCTCAAAGGAAACCACCAGCTGGATGGTTCAAATCGGATTCCATGTCTCATTCCCTGCATCTCTCGCACCAGAAAGAAAATGGCGCAACGGTTCCCTTGCGCCTCTTTAAACAGTCCCACGTTTGGGGGGTCCCCTCTTTTTCTGGGATCCCAGAATGGCGTCGGTGTTCCTTCCTCCAGTAGAGAGATTAGAAGAAGGGTACCCTTTCTTCTGTAATCTTTAAGGGGAGCCCTCCCAACCAAAAAAGAATCGGTAAAAGCTGGCACCTAGCTGGGGGACCTAGTTCCCCTTTTTGTTTCTTCCTCTTTTTTGGGGGTTTCCTTTTTTGGGGGGCCCCCCCTTTTTCGGGGTCCCACGTTTGGGGGGCCCCCCACGTCCGTTCTCCTTGCGGTAACCCCCCCGGACGTACGTCCGCCGTCCTCGAGGGCTAAGGCGCAAGGCGCCAGCCACAGGAGGCGCGCCGCCTCGGGAGAGAGTCGGACCGCCCCAAAGCGTAGCCCGTAAAACTTTTGGGGCCTGGGACCTGGGAGCACAGGTGCATATGTATAGATAGATATATATGTATCTCTATATACATATACATACATATATATATATATGTGTGTGCGAGATGTATATGACTGTATATGTCTATATTATATTGCATGTGTATACACATGTTCATATTATGCAGATATGACCAGGCAATGATACTGCCTGTGTGCCGTATGCCCAGATGTGCACTAAGCTCGTTTTAGCTGCAGGTCACCGTTCTCTCAGGCTCCCTACAAGTGGTGGTTTGCTCGGCTCCATCGGGAATACACTGGGTCTGACATTGAGTATTCGTGTTTGATCCATGGCAGACCCAAATCACTATGCAAACACACATTCGACCGAGGTTTCTTGTTTTGGGGTGATTGTACATTGCCCGCTAGTTCAGCCTGAAGCACACATGTCATCACCTCTTGCCTCTTGAGCCATGATGAAAAGATTCCTCATCGCAGACTCTGTGAGTGATAATGGTAAAACCCTGTGATGAGTAACAAACGGAGCCTTTCGGTCGATCGCATCACCTGCCAATGGCATGGTGAGTTGTGGGTAAACAGTGAGCAAGGGACTTATCATATGTCATATATCAATAGGGTGGTGGTTGTTTCGGACAGCTATGTTTTTCCGACTGTGCAACTCCAGGTCCTCTGAATATGTCTTCAACCAGTGCCTCCCCCCCCCAAGCACTTCGCGAGGATTAAACCCGAGGAAGAAGACCGCCTACCAGCCTCCACTTTCTCCGCCTCGGGCTTCTGGGTCCCTTAAGAATCGGCCCCAAAGTTGATGTTGTCTCCCTTTGCGTTTCCTTCCAAATCAAAAGCTACCCTCAAGAAAGACACAAATGGTGGGTTTTCTTGGTTTCCATTTGACTCCTCCAAAAGGGTCTCTGGATCTCCTGCTTCCAAGGCGCCATTCCCATGGCACGATCTGCAACTAGGCACGAGGAAAATGATCGCGCCTCTGGAGGTAATTCTGCTACGAGCCGGCCGGGCGAAAATGCAAATGGCGTGCGCCATCTGAGGTTACCTCCAGGTGTGAGACACGATCAGTTCGCTGCACGTCGTATGTCTTAGAATCGCAACCTGTTCAAACCGGACACCCTGCCCCAAAAAAACATCAAATCATCTTGACCTGACGCACCTGGCACCAACATGTCCTACATAGGAATTGATCTACATGAAGTCGCGTTGAGAAATCGCAACCTCCATCTCCGAAGTTGGACTGAGGACCCCCGGCAAAAAAGCAACACGTGTAGTTGGAGTGGGGAACTCGTGACTGTCCGAAAGGCTTAAGGTTGAGGGCATGCCCCCCTTTAACCAAGCAACACCCCACATTTAGGCTACTTACTGCCAGTCTTTGAAGCTGTGAGTAAGCACCGCAAGTGGAACTCACAGCCACGGAACAAATAAACTTAGAGTTAGTTCGAAGGGAGGACCCCCCTCCCTATGTTTTGTTTTCTCTCTTTTTTAAAAGAGAATAGGGGGTATTGGGAAGGCCCCCCGTGTCTCTCCAAATGAACAACAAGCCACCAGTAATATTGTCCGTTGCTCATATTGTCGTTTAATAGGAGTCTCTTTGGTGGACATGTTTTTTTTAAAGGGGAATCATGTCCAAGCATTCTTGAGGGTGCAACCACACTCTAAAGTGTAGTTGGCACAACTTCCCTTGTTGCCACATCAAAAACCTGAATGCGGAGTTGCAACTCACTTCCTGAGTGGATTGGCTCCCTTGAAATCTGAACTTCTCGTTCGCCCCTTAAATCTCCCAGCCCCAAAAAGTGACTAAAGCCATCTACTGTCCCCCATGTCTCGGTCGTCCAGTAGAGAGGTTAGAGCAAGACATACCCCTTATTTCCTCTTGTTTGTCTCTTTTAGTCCCCGAAAAATCGGGTAAATGGGCACTACTGGGGGACCTAGATGTCATCTTTTTGGGGAGGGGCCCACGGTGGATGTCCGTCTGGCCGCCCGTCGGGGTGGCCCTCCTCCACGCGCTGCACGCAGCGACGGTGCGGCGAGGCCGCGTGGCCCAGGGACTCGGTCCGAACGACCGTTTTTGAGGTGACCTGGGGGGATTGGAGCCGAGGTCTTGGGGCATTTCAGAGATTGTTTTGCGCATTTGAGATTTTTTGGGGGATTTTTGAGATTTTGGGGGGATTGGAGATTTTTGGGGGATTGGAGCACGTTCTTGACTGGACGGCTTGCGCGGTCCCGGTGGCATCTGGGGGCATTTCAACCCAACTTTGGTGAGGTCAGGTCTTGTACTGTCCAGGTAACAAACCATTACTCCATACCATTGCCTCAGACCAGTAGAACGAAGTCCAAGGATTAGAATGGTGTTGTGGGGAACCTTAAACAAGAACCACCTGGAGAGCCAGTTGCGGTATTCTTTTTCCCCCCCCTGCACTTGACCCCCAAAAACCAGCAACAATGACTGAAAAAAACAGCAACTTAGCTATCTAGGCAACACTTAGAACGGTTGAATTGAGAGGCTTGCGAAAAGAAGGACGGGTGATAAAATAATGGGTATCAGGCTGTTGCCCAGAACACGGAGCCCGGAAATGATACCCTCCCAACAATTCACGTGGAACCTGATGTTCGGGGGTCCCTTCAAAAGGAAAATGGTCCAAGCCAGGACCCCCCGAATGGTGCTGTGGGATACTTCAAAATCTGACATGAAGTCATGGTTAGAGTAAACTACTTGTAATTATCTAGCCCCTTGCATTTAAACAAAAACATGCAACCACTTCTGTAATACCAGTGGCCAATCTCAAGTCAAGGAACACGGTTTGTGATATGCAGGGACCTTTGAAGTGATAGAGCAGATCACTTGTTCTGCAGCGCGTTTCCGTGCGTTGCCGTTGCAGGAATGAGGGGGTATTCCTTCTGATGCCAGGGAACCCCTCCCAAAGCGGAAAACGGGAGTGCGATGGGGCAGTTTCCCAAAAAATGTAAAATCAAACACGACACCCCAGTTAGGTTGCTTTTCTCCCGAGAAGGACCCCCCTGTCAGGCGCCACGTCTGTGAGGTTGGGGCGTTGCGGAAGTTTGCTGGCAACCTGATCCTGGAACGTGCGAGGGACTCAGCTGTATGGCTGTGCAGCAAGCGCCTTGGTCGGAAAATGCCTCCATCAGCATCAAATTCATCTCCAGTCAGCCAGCTCGGTCCCCATATGTCCACTGAAAACATCACCCCGAAAACGGCAACGGTGTCCTTTTGGTTTCCCTACTACCAACTCACACGGGGGGTCTGCAATCAAAATTACTTCGCTTCGAGCAGTCCCCACCCTCCACGCTCACACGGTCGATTCAAGCATGGTTTTCAAGTGGCCTGTGGCTGCTCAACAAGCTTTGCATTGAGAGCCTTATCCACGTGTCTGTGTGTCAAACTCCACTTGCATGCGAGCCGATCTTGAGAACTCAAACATCGGTTCCGTTAACAAAAGCCAAGCCCCTTCCAAAAAAAAAACCTGACGGGGGATTAAACGAAGTTGCTTATTCACAGCCCAAAGCAACACAAAAGCATCACCCTTTCCGAGCCTCAGGGTACACTCAAAACACGAAGGCGCCAACATGAAATGTAAACCCAACTGTGCGCCGGGCGGGACATTAAGCAAAACTAGACTGGCGAGCTGCTCTGGCGGGACACTGGCGGGATCCACTGGCGAATGCTGGCGAGCCGCTCCGGCTCGACAGTGGCCTGATTGTCGGCAGGATCCACCGGCAAGGGATACTCAGCAGGATACTCGGCGGGATATACTGGCGAGCTACTCTGAGAAACTCGGCGGGATACTCGGCGGGATCCACTGGCGGGCTACTCTGGTGGGATACTCGGCGGTCTGACGGGATACTCGACGGGATCCACTGCCGAGAGCAGCTCTGGCGGGATAGGCGGCGGGATCCACTGGCGGATACTCAGCGGGATCCACTGGCGAGCCGCTCTGGCGGGGCTGCTCTGGCGGGATACTGGGCGGGATCCACTGGCGAGCAGCTCTGGCGGGATACTCGGCGGGATCCACTGGCGAGCTGCTCTGGCGAGATACTTGGCGGGATCCACTGGCGAGCTGCTCTGGCGGGATACTGGGTGGGGGCGTGGTGTAGAAGCATCGCAAACGCGGATTCCAACTTAAAATCCAACAACCCCTTCCTGTCGGGTGGGCATCCGAGTATACCAACCCTTGTAACCTCCCCTTTCATTAAACCAGCCTGAAAGGGTACCAACTCCAACAAAAACAACAAATTTATCGTCGGAGCAGATTTTGTGGGCCTGCCTTGAGCGCTCTGTCCACCACTGGCAGGTACACGCGCCCGTCAAAGCCTCACGGGAAAAAGGCGTCGACGCTGGGGCTCGGATCTCTTGTGTTCCATGGCTTACTCGGTCTGATAAAAATGATCAGGGAGGCTTTAGGCATGCGTGACAAGCCATGGACATTTGCATCGCCGAACGATGGCTCCCCGAAAGGCCAAAGTCTCTCGCCAAAGGCCAAAGGCTGGCGCTGGTAGCGTTGAAAGGGAGCGTTCAAAAGACACACCCGCTGACACGGGCATCCCGGAACCTTTGCAGGGCCTCAACTTTCTTGTCCGGGAAACCGGGACCCAAAGCTTTTGTCCGTTGGGAACCCAGGTGAAAGGCCCCAAACCACATCTCGCCATTAAGCCCCCACCAAAAGGCATATAGCTGTGGGTCAAAAATAGGCACCCATTTTGGGAACTTGGCAAATGGAACCAAGGACTAAAACCTGCGGTCCCCTGGTGGTTTAATTTTGGCCCATACCCATCTAGCTTCCTCGCGCACGAAACAAACACTGACGTCAATGCCCTTTCGCTGATCTCCACAGGCAAGGACTGCGCTCCCCCCTTGCGCGCGATGCACGAGCCTGGGTCTATCTCGTGCATCGCCTCGCAAATGCCCTCCTGCAACAAAGTGATGGTGCCAGGGTCAAACCGGACCAGGCTCAGTTACAAGGAGCCACTATGCGTGTGTCAAGTTTGTGGTTTCCAGGATCCACTAGAAACAACGCGAAATGGAGTCTTAACCATGGCGTGTCCGGATCAAAAGAATTCACAGGCCGGATGCGCGCACCTATGGCAACGGGACTGCCCACTGACCTTCCGGTGAACTAGTTTGGCAGAGGAAACCAAGACTGGTATACAGTGTTCCCTGAGCAACCTTAAACAGGTACCCTTGAAAAACAGACGGCCCCCGCATGTTCACATGGAATCCAGAGAAGGAGTCGGAGTCCATCCCGCCATTGATGGCTCTTGGGGATTCATCTCAATCAGGGTCGGGGGTCCCCATCTTTCACCAAGCATCACCCCTGCCCCCTCATCCTGGTCCAACAAATGTGTGTGTGTGTGTGTCATTGGTTGCCTTCCTCTTGCTAAAGTCCTCTGGCAAAAATACACACATGTTCAGTCGTGATAGGTTCCTTTTCACACCAGAGAAAAGTAAACAACATCTTCATCAAACAACAAATGTTGACGTTTCCCTTTTGGTTTCCCACAAAAACCGGCGGCATTGTTTTTTTCCCCTTCCAATGTTGATCATGTTGGTGGCTTCCATTGAGTCGATAAGCTCTATCCCCAGCAGCCGTCGGAACCGACCTTCGGAACCCAAACCCTCTGAGTCAGCATCAGCTGAATCAGCTGAAGCTGGGGAGAAAACTACGAGCCCCATTTGGACCCAACACTGGGTTGCGGTACGGACCCCTCTGCAAAAAGTGAATCTCACTCTTTGTGGCTCCAAGTCGGCAAACCCGAGCCGTTTCAACCAACAAGTTTGAGTAATCAAAGATCCGTCGCCAAATAGGGTCCCCCATATGCGACTGTCCTTTCTGGGTACCCCTCAGAATAGTGGGTTTCCTGCGAAACACCACCAAAAAAAGAAGAAAACACAACGCGGGGAGGGGGGGGGGGGGGAAAAGGAAGAAGAAAAAAACACCGCCCGGTTTTTTTCTTCGGGGGGGCTCCCCTAAAGGCGTATATATTTTGTTAATACACACACACACAGCTCCAGCTCCAGGTGATCCAGGTGATCGCGAGCGAGCGAGCGAGCCTCTGTGAGGTCCAGCTCCGCGAGCAAGCCCAGGCGCCGCAGGCCCTCAGAGAACTGGGCCACCTCCAGCCTCGCGGTGGAGGCGGAGGCGGTTGGCGGAGGAGGCGGTTGGCGGGGGGGGGAGGTTGGGGAAAGCAAAGGGGCGAAAGCGCCCCTCCCCGTCTTAAGGGAAACTTTGAGGGGTTTGAGGAAAACCGAAAGAAGAAAAAAAAAGACGGCCGTCTTTCTAAGGTAAACCTCAAGGGCGCACACACTTCCGTTGCTGGGAACCTCAGACTCCAGCCAGAATGATATTTACCGTTTGCAGATTCTGGTCCATATTGGCCGAACGCTTTGTGAATAATTTTGGAGACAAGTTAGGGGTGGTGTCCTCACTCCAACAGAAGATCGCTTGAGGAAAATTATCCAAACCAGGAACCCTTATCAGGCTCCATGTTGGTTGGGAGGCGAAGAACAAACTAGCAAACGGGGTGGGATCAATGACCATTCGGCCGTGCACAGTATGTAACCAATGAATGGTGCGAGAAGGAATCGTCCTTCGGGCTTTGCAGAATAGATTGACAATGGATCAACAGCAAAGCAGTCCGTGCCTACCGAACTACAATTTCTTACTTTCTGCTTCTCCTCCTTCCTCTTCTTGTTTGTTCTTGTTTGTTCTTGTGGTTGTTTTTTGCTGCCTTCTTCTCGTTCGTCTTTATCCTCCTTCTAGGTTGACATCCCCAACCACTACAGGGAAGCCAGCCACCAACCTTACCCTCCACCTGTTCGGTACTTGCAACACAACTGACCACCACCAAGAACCAATAGGATCAATAGCCGCCTGTAGGTGACTAATGTTGACTTCAAATGAATCACCCTAGCAGATTCAGGGGGTGGTTCCCTCAAACGTTCAATTATCCCCTGTTCCGTGGCGCACTGCCAGTCAAAGAATTGATTTGGGTCTGTCTTTCTTGGACGGTGCCCGTTTTTTGGTGTTTTTAAACGCAGGCCAAAAGGAAAACCACAATTTCTCGGTTGCTTTCTGCTCCCCTGCTAAAAGTTTAACTTTTAGCGGTTTAATGGAAAACAAATTGGTTGGCAAAAAGTTAAAGTCCTAACATCCAAGCAAAATGCACCAAAGATTTCCGGGGTCCCCAGTCATTGGGTTTCCCACTAGATCGCGCGTCCCTGAAAAAACCTTCGTGGATCCCTGAGCCAATCGGCTGACACTTGGGGCCCTTGTTCTCCGCCATGAAGATCTTGGACACCGTCGTCTTGGCCTCAACGAGCATCCGAGGCAACCGGAAAAATCCGAAGCGCCAGAGCTTGAAGGAGAGTTTAAGTGGCCATGGGTTGTTCAGTGACCCTGGAAAAAAGGGAACCCGTTTTGGGGAAGATCATTTTTGTGCGGCAGCCACCAAAAAAAGGGGGAAAAAGGGTGCCAATCCTTAGATTATACACCTGAACATTGCCTTGTCAATGGTGGTTTCCCCTTATGGTGGAAAAAGCCATGTTTTAAATGGGCAAAATGTCTCTGTTCAGGAGCCCTGCCAGAACTTGCAGGATGGCTCAAGTGGCCATGGGTCAAAATGCAAATCGTGCCCCCCGTGAACATCCGATTCAGCCAAATGGGTGTGTCTTTTTTTAAGGACCTCCCCCCTAAAATTGTGGATTGTCCTGTTGGTTTTCCTCCGCAGCAGGGAGAGAGGTTCGAGCTCCTTGTACATGACCGGGAATCAAATCAATGTGCCAACACTAGAGACCCGTTTTGGGATGGCTTCAAAGGAAAATCAGCAAACCTGCCGTTCGTTTTGAGATTTCCTTACAAAACAGATCTGGGACCTGGTGTTGTCCCAGAAGGTCACGAGCAATGGCACTGCTGCACTACTGCTAACACCTCTTTCAGTATGTTCCTTATGTTCGTCTTTGAGCATCACACCACCAACAGAGTTGTCAAAACAAAATGTGTGTTGTTGATTGTTTTTTGTTTTTGTGTTTTACACTCTCACAAACACAAGCACAAGCACAAGCACAGGCACAAACACGAACACAAACACAAACAGAAACAGAAACAGAAACAGGCAGACACACAGACAGACAGACAGACAGACCAAACAAACAATCAAACAAACAATCAAGCAAACAAATACAAAAACAAAACACACAAACACGCAAACAAACAAACAAACAAACAAAGAAACAAACAAACAAACAGACAGACAGACAGACAAACAAACAAACAAACAAACAAACAAACAAACAAACAAACAAACAAACAAAACAAAACAAAACAAAACAAAACAAACAAACAAAAGCAAAACAAACAAACAAAAGCAAAACAAAACACAAAACAATGCAAACAAAGCCAAACGAAACAAACAGAAGAACAAACAACAAAAAACTGTCTGTGTGCGTTTGGGATCCCTGTAGACGCGTTTGTCGAGCGCAAACTCGCTGAGCCCAACGGATGCGTGCCTCGCGCAAGGCATGCTCCAAGTGCACGAGAAGGACTGAGCAATGCGATTCGGGCAGGCTGAGTGGCCCGTTTTTGGCTGACACTGAGTGCTCAATAGGTATGTGCCATAGGAAACTCCCCCAAAGGTTTTGCTTTTCCCTCCCACGTTAAAAGGGTGCCCCCGACACAATGAAGAAACCCAAATAGCGGTCTGGAAAGATCAAAAACACTACCCATCTCCTGTTGACTTTTATTTGCAAAACAAAATAAAAGAGGGGCCGCTTCGCGGACATTTAAACGTAGACCCAGCGCCCAGTGGTCTTAATCGCGATCCATGGCTATCCTCTTCTCGGTTGCTCTCTGCTCCCCTGCTCAAAGTTTGACCTGTGGCTTCATGGAAAACCCATTAGTTGGCAAAAAAATAAGGTCCTAACCTCCCTTGGCAAAATGCAACAAAGTCTTCATTCCACCACAAAAGCCTCCCAGAGCCACCCGAAGCTGAAAACCCCCCCGCCTGCCCCGCCCACGGCTGCGTTCACACCGATTTTGCTTTGATGGGTAGCACGCTTTACATTCGGCATGTGTGGCAAGTCTAAGTCAACCCTCTGCAGCGCTTTCCAGAGCTAAGAGGACAGGGTTATGGTCCCTTTGGGATACGCCAAACGCGACATGCTATCTTCCCCTTTGGTCTGAAAAATATGCCGGTTCAATCCCCCTACAATCCTCACCACAAATTGAGTGCTACCTGGCTACCTGATACTTGAATTCCTTGTCTGGAAAATTGTGAGAGTTTATGGAAACCTGGCGCAAGGGGAGATCCTATGCGTACTTGTTTCCGATGTTTTGTCGTTGAGGTGTAGTTGTCATTAAGTGGAAGGGATTCGAGACAATATGGGTGGGTTTCCAAAAGTGGAGCCCGCAGAATGATCCAAAATGGTTGTTGCTCCTTTGATGTCCCGCAAAACAAGAAGAGAGGAACAGGGCACACAGAGACATAAAAAAAAATCATATGGGCGTCTTCATTTTAGGGGCCCTAAAAAAATGCATCGGTGTTCCTGTTGGTTTCCCTTGAAACCTACCAAAAGAAGAGAGATTTATGAATAAACTGAACAGTGTTTATGGGAACCTCTCCTCTCACCTACCAGTTCTTTTCGTGCTGATAGCAGCTTCCCTTAGTTGGTTGTACTAAACCACCTATCCAAACCACCAACTAAGCTGGGTCCTCCAAATAAGGGTGCCGTGTTTTTTCTTCCTGTAGTCGATCTTAGGGGAACCCTCCCAAAAAAGGGTGAGAAAGGGCACCTAGCTGGGGGACCTAAGGGTTTCCTGATGGCTGGAGTCGAATCCTATCTTGCGGCCTCCAATGGGTCTTGAATCGGACCGATGCCCAGACTGGGCGCAAGTGTCGGCTTTCTGGGTCGTTGCCCTTGCCCATTTGGAGGGCCTCTCCATACAAAAAGGTCGAACACCACCTTTGGCTCCCTCGGAAATGGGTCTAAAAGTTCGGGAAAAAAAAGGACATGGCCCATGTTGAGAAGCCCCACATCCAGCTCCAAGGCCTCCCAGCCATACGGATGGACGAAATCCGAGACCGCACCACTCGATGGGATGGTTGAGAAACCATGGTGTTTCTTGGTATTTACGTTGGGGAAATCGAGGCATTTTCCCGGGTTTCTGAACGGCGGTGCGAAATGGCGAGATGAAATCGAGGCATGTTTTCGGGCTTCTGAACGGTGGTGCGACATGGATTTCGCCCACCCAGCTCCTGTCGGAACCCACTTGAATTGGGGAGCCCCGCGGAAGGCGTTCAGCCGCGCCGGGGACAGCCCCAGCTCCTGTCGCTGGGAATAACACGGAGGAGATCCGCGCACTGAGCAAAAGATACTATGTCACCAACTAACATGGAAGTGCACAAAGCCCCTTTCCAAGAGGAAAGTCGTCTTTCTACAGCTGCGCACTTCCATGTTAGTCGGTGCGAGGGTACTCCTAGGAACACATCGGCACTAAATCATGGGAGCCAAACTCGATGGAACCCATCTGTGTTCAACCGAAGTGACCTTAAAATGGACGCTGAGGGGAACACAGCTCTCTGTACCGAGCGGCCGCCGTTAGTTTCCTGACAATTGACATAAAACCCCAAAGAGCAAAAAGCATTTGAAAGGCATTCCCTTTTGGGCGGACCCCCCAAGGAGGCCTTTTGAGGTTTCATGATTGGTGGAGTGATGCTGGCCGCATGTCAAAAAATAAGTGCAAGATTCAAAAGTGAAGCATTACATCATACTCTCGCGCACACGTGCTGTGAATGACCCTTCTTGTCATCTTTTGGCCTATACCTATATTGCCCTTGTGAGCCATCCACCTACAGTATCTTGTCTCTCCCCTTCAAATAGAAGTTCATTCAGTGCCGATGGCCCGTACAAAAGCATGCAAATCAAATTGATTCAACAAAGGATTCAGGTAGTTTGTCAGAATCAAAGCCTGGCAAGTCGTCTCCCGTGATTTTTGCAGGTAAAGAACGAAGAGCCCGGGCCGACAGCCGTAACACGGCCATGGGTCAAAGCCCCCCCCCAGTTCCCAAACCTCACTAAAATAGACTACTAAAATGGGCGGTGCACCGAAAACCCCCCAAAATGGGATCACCCACATTCGTATCCCCCCGAGAAAAAAACAGAAGAAGAAAAAAATGCGAAAACTCCCCCCCCCCCCTCCGCCTCTTCACTCTTACCGGCCAGGAGAGCCTCTAAGGAGCCTGCGGTCAGGGCGTGCTTCGGTCCACTTCCATTTGCCTTTTAAGCCGCCTGGAAAAAATGAGGAAATACTTGCAGTGATAGATTCCCTTTAAAACCAACAAGGGCAAACATATTCTATATGTCTTTGTTAAAGAACAATACAACATGTTTAGGCAAGATGGAAGTCCAGGGCATGGCATCCAGATTTGGGGTTCACATCCAATATTGAGGAGCCATGTCTCTGGCAGGCTTTTGAATGTTTACCCGTCGTTCAAGGTCAAACCTTAGCACGTCTCTGCCTGCCAGTTGCCTTCGACTCTCCCATCAGACGGCCGTTTCGTTTTCAAGCGCCAGTTTCGTTCTTCTCGCATCACCGGTCTGTGCCAAATAACTTGAGCAGTGGACAGTGATCAAGCCCCTTTCGGTTCTTTCGGTGCCTTCCAGGTCTGAAGGCTGAACTAGCAATCCTAGACTTGTTTAGACCCAAATCACATTAAACGCCTCCGCATTGATCAACGAGGTAGACAAGGAAATCTACTATGAAGAACCCTGCAAGCCTTGCACAAGCCCCGGTTGTGACTGCAAGCCCGGAGTAGAAAGGTGGCTGCTTCTTGCCAAGTGGCCCCGAATACCCAGTGGAACTGTCGGGAACCCGGCGGACGCCTCAATGACCCCTTAGCCCTGTAAACATTAAGGCACAAAGCCCATCAAATGCACATGCGTAATACACAAACCGAGCGGTGACTCTCAGTGTGGATGTATTCCGACGAAAATCGGCGTGTAAGCCCACAAAAATCCAAATGCGTGGATTCCTTCAGGGGCCCAATGTGCGTGTTCCTCACGTGATGTTTTGTGTTTTTTGATGCAACGTTGAAACAGCGACAACCGCACGTCAGTAAAACAAACACGGGGGGCTAGACTTGGAACCCCTGAACAAAACGAATAAACTTGGTACATCATGAAAACTGGAAAACAAACCAAGTCCCAAAGGTGAACTGTGACCTCAAGATTTCTGCTGGTCAGAGAATATTGGGACAACTCTAACTTGAAAAGCAAAAGCAATCTGCCAGAACTCTGTTCGGCTCAGAAAGCGAAGACTCCTGGCTGTCGCTTGTCACTGCCCAGTGCCAGATTCTGACACCACGCCCTTGGTCCGGTAGCTATGTACAACTCCCGAGCGGTCAGAGCCGACAGAGGGGCAGGCAGCGCCACGTTTCACAGCTCCTGGCTTTTGGTGGATACTCTTCTGAATAGTTTCTACAGGGAGGTCCGTTGTCCCCACAGAATCAGGCATATTTCTGCGAACATCCCGGGACATGTTCAATTTACAGAAGCGGAAGCAATTCTGGGGTTCGAAAGGAATTTCGGTTGTGCTTCTTTGTGTGGTTACTTTCTAAAGCGAGACCCGTGGGCAACCCTTCGCTATTTTACTTTTGGTTTTTAGATAGGGTTTGTCAAGCCCTTGTTTACCTGCACAATACAGGCAAACGGATCTGGGGAGAACTGTGGGCCGGCTGCCTGCCCTCAATTTCCCTTTTGCTTCGGCGCTCGCAGCAGGGAACGCACGCCCCAGCTGAGCGCCGCTGCAGAGAGAAAGGCCAGCGGGATGCCCAGCAAGGGCCGCATCACACACCAGGACAGGCCTGGAGCTCGCAACCCGGAGCACTTTTCAAGGTCGGATCCTCCAAATCATGTATGTGGGTGATTCGTGTGACTGACCAGCATGTGACCTTTTTGTAGGGAAACAACCAAAGCCCCACCACTGCCCGGAAAATGCTTAGAATCTTCCCAAAAAGAGTTCTTAGAAGGGGGTGGATGCTTCATAGGTAGGGGTCATGCCATTTCTCATTCCCTGCCTTCAACCGAGGCTGAGCCCTTGCGTTCCGTTTTGGAGGTGCTACCCGTTTTCAGGCTACCCATTTCCACTTGGTTGACGTTGGAAGGAGATAAATTTCAGCAGAAAAACGCCGAGATTTCAACCACTAAACCACAACAAGCACAAAGGTAAAATGTTTCCCAACAATGCAAACGCAACCCCAAGGGACACCACCCGAAAAAAAAGACGCCCCGAAACCAACCCCCAGGGGTGGCAAGAATGCCACCTGTTGTGACCAAAAATTGGCGACCCCCTCAAAACAAAAACCTTCACTACGAGAAAGTCGATCATTCTTCCCCCAAAGGCGGCAAAAAAAAAAACCTGAACCCCAAAAAAAAACGAGTCGAGGCGCTGATGACCAGCAGCGCGGAGGGCGCGCCAACCGCCAGCGCCACCAGCGCCAGGCCGCAGCCCACGAAGGCGCCCACGCAGTCCCCCAGAAACAACAGCGCGCTGCCCAGCAGCGGCACCGACCGGAACCTCCAAATTGCTCACGGTTCAATTGGGGGGAAGCCATGTGAGTCATAATCAAAACCCGGTACTAGAATGGTCTGCCCAGAACCATGTAAAGAATTAAGAAGGCGGATATCCGCAGCTATTTATGGTTGGGAATGTTGGGGTTATCCCTTACTAACCTTCTACCGGGGTTTTGAGCAAGTGGCTCACGTGAAAATTCTCAAAAGATCCACGAGAGGTGCGGGATTCTTCTCACGAGGTTCAATTGGGGAAGAGGTGAAAGTTCTCCAGGTTCAGGGGGCCGAAAGCGTTCGAACTCTGAAGCTGAAAAAAAAAGCGTGGAAAATAAAGAGAAAGGAGAGTTTCAGGGGGAGAAGTGACTTGGAACAAGATGTGTGAAGACGATAAGGGAAAGATACGCAGAGAAAATAACCTGGAACCTAAATGCAACCCAAGTGTGTGTGTGTGTGTGTGGGTAGAGAAAGCTCCGCTTCCGTGTGATTCACCCCTTTGAGTTTGGCAGATGAAACCTGGGCGTGGTGGAGTTGAAAGGGAAACCCAAAGGAAAACCAATGGAAACCAACAAGAAGCCAAGGGCAAACCACGATGCTGCCGTTTCGCGGGCTCCCCCGTATAACAGACACACCCATATAAGAGGGAATGATCTATAAGGCTTAGCTTTCGAATGGGAAACCGTGGCCATGTGACGCCAAGCTTTACAATCAGCAACGCACGAGATCTTGCAGGGAACAGGTTGACCCGACAAAAGAACCCTAAGAAACCAACCGAGGGAACGCTGAAGAGTCCCTTTGGAGCTTGGGGGAAATCGGGCTTTTTCAGTGTGTACGATCAACCAGAGGTTCCTCTGGCCTTACGGCCGAAGTCATCATCCGAGTGTTCCGTGGGTTACCCAACAATCGATCTATTCTCCAGATCCAGCCCTATTCTGGTTCCCGTTTGCAACAATCCAGCAGAACCGTCGAAGGCCAAAGCATGTTTAGATGTTCCCGCCAAACGGGTCTCATGATTTTATCAGTGGATGCTGGAGCCATAAAAAGAAGAAGAAAAAAGGCTGCAGGATCCGAGAGCACCCAAGACCTCAGCAGTTTCGAAAGAACTATAGCTATAATTTGTCGTCGGGCGCCCTTTTCGGATGAAAATCGCTTGTGCAAGCGGAATTTCTTTGAATTCATGGCTGACCTCTCGGGCTGAACCCAGCTTGCCAGAGCAGTCGTGACCATTTCACTCCCAGTGGAGAAGAGGCTGAGAACCATCGCCAATTCTTTCGTCCCCAATGCCATGAACCTGACATCTACCCGTCATGGTGCCAGGGTTTCTTAAAGGATGCGTCCAAACACCACCTGCCTTACTGTGGACGGACGAAATCCATTTCGCACCACCTAAGAGAAGCCCTGGAATGCTCCGATTCCCCCTGTAAATAACATCAAACAATGATTTCAACCATGGTTTCAAAGTGGTGCAAACGGATTTTGTCCATCAAAAGTGTCCTCGAAATTAGCTGGTAGCCCTTAAGGGCCCATCCGCAGAAATCTAGGGGTTGATTCCCCATTCTTTTCAACCATCGTTCTTTTCAAAAACCGGTCGTTTTCACTGGGTCTCTTGAGGTTTCCTAGAAAGATTCGGATCCCTGGAAAGAATGGAAATGGAAGGTACCCTCTAGGACACCAACTACAGGAATTTCTACCGGAAACCCCTGATTTTGTTTGGGTCGTACCATGTACCTATTCCCAGTACCCATCAAAATCGCCCTTTGAAGCCCCTAGAAACATTTGAAACCAGCCCTCTCCAGGTATGGACTCGCATCCGTTCCCCGGCGCTGTGCGCGCGCGAGCGGCCACTGGAAGAAGTCGTTCACGAGCTCCGCCAAGGTCTGGAGGGGGTTCCTTCGGCAGCTTCGTGGAAATCGATCGAAACGGAAAATGTGGCTGGTCAAAATTGTTTTGGTTGATCCCATTTTGGGGGGTTTTCGGTGAATTCACCACCCATGTTAGGCTTCCTATTTTAGTGGGGATTGACTCGGATGTTCACTGGGGGTACGATTTGGATTTTGAGCCATGGCCATGACACAAAAACCCCAATGAGTCATTCCGCCCAGGCCAAGACATCTGGGTGATGTGTGCTGATTCGCAAGACCAGGAGTTGAATACAACAAGATGTGTGAACATGGTGCTGTGCATCCCATATGGGCGAACCATCTTGGGTGGTCGTGTTTACACAACCAAGAGAAGGTCATTCATAATCGCCGGCTCCAGTGATGCTTCATGAGTATCTATCTGCGTGTGTCTACAAGCTTGGCTTCAGGGCGTTTCGTTTTCTGAATGCTTGCTGAGCTCCAAAATGCCAGCTCTCTCTGACCTAAAAATCCCCCAACGCAAAACACAAAGACGGCCAGAGGGGCCCACCGGTGGGTCGCTGTGCAGATCCAATCGGGTCCATAGCTCCCACAGATAAACTGCTGTCAAGTCGTGCCGCTTTGAGCAGGCATGCTTGTTCTGATTTCCTCGGCGGTCCTCTAGAACAGGCTGGCAAGCAGCCAAGACCTCAAATACTTTGACCCAAAACCCTCACACAAGTTCCTCTGATGTCTGAGTCTTGCGCATGAATCAAAACCAAGGGTTCAAATGATTTCGACGTGCTTCAAACAATCAAATGAGTGCGCAAGCTTGC